GGGGGGCCTCCGGGGGGGCGGGGCGGGGGAAGACCATTTTGGCCCTCCCCTAGAAAGGCTCTGGAGCCTGGGGAGAGCAAACAACGGGTCTTCTGGTCCCACCAGAAGTCGGCAAACGGACTGTTTCCGGCCTCTGGAGGGCCTCCAAGGGGGTGGGGAAGGCCGTTTCCGGCCTCCCCAGGCTCCGAGAAAGGCTCTGGAGCCTGGGGAGGGTGAAAAATGGGCCTATCGGGCCAACGGTGCCATCGTGTGCCAAAAGTGGAGGGACCGGGGGGGGGGCACATAGAATTATGGATGTGGGCACCCCGCTTTTGGCACACGATGGCAAAAAGGTTAGCCATCACTGGTATAGGTAGTTCTCGATTTACGACCGCAGTAGTATCTAAAATTTATGTTGTTCGGCAGGACAAGTGAGTTTTGCCCCATTTTACGACCTTTCTTGCCATGGGCGTTAACTGAATCACTGCCGTTAAGTTAGTCACATGGTTAAGTGGACCTGGCTTCTCCCTTGGCTTTGCTCGTCCGATGGTCGCAAAAGGGGATCACGTGACCCCAGGTCACAGCCACTGTCATAAACACGAGTCAGTTGCCAAGTGCCTGAATTCTGGCCACGAGGATGCTGCAACCATCATAAGTGTGAAAAACGGTCCTAAGTCGCTTTTTTCAGTGCCGTTGTTAACTTCGAACGGTCACTAAACAAATTGTTGTAAGTCGAAGACTACCTGTGAAGACAGTCCTTGACTTATGGCCAAACTTGGGACCGCAACTTATATCGCTAAACAAAGTTGTTGGTAAATGAATTGCACCTGATTTTATAACCGTTTTTGGGCACGGTTGCTAAGCAAATCCCTGCAGTTGTTAAGTGAATCATGTGGTCATTAAGTGAATCTGGCTCTGTTTGTCAGAAGTGGTTGGGCAGGTCGCAAACAGGGATCACGTCACCCCAGGATTCTGTAGCTGCTGTAAATATGTTCCAGTTGCCAATCACCCAAAATTTGATCATATGATTATAATAGTTGTAAGTGCGAGGACTGGTTGTAAATCACTTTCTGTCACTAAATGAACGGCTGTAATTCGAGGATCACCTATATTAGGCTTAATTTCCACAATTCTCCTGACTTTTAGACCGAGGGTCTCCAAACATGGCGGCTTTAAGACTTGTGGACTTCAAATCCCAGAATTCCCTAACCAGCTCATTTCCCCCCCACCCACTTTGCTGAATATCAAGATATATTATGTTTACCGCATACCCACCATCTATTAAGAAAGACGGCCAAAAATTGCAATAAAGGTAGTTTAGCCGCCTTGGTTCTTGTCCTATCCGTGCCTGAATTCTGGGAAACCCTTGCCTGCTGGGGAATTCTGGGAGTTGAAGTCCACGAAGACTTCAAAGTCTCCATGTTTGAAGACCCCCCGTTTTATTAGACTGTGAAAACTGGCCTGTAGGATCCTAAGCCAACATCCAAAGCCAACCTATGTCCGATGCTGGTTTAATCTGATGTTTCACCCCATGGACACTTAGGGGGCTGAGGGCATCTCGGTGGCATTAAAATTTTGCACAATGCAAGTGGCCGAGTGGACAATTGGGGAAGGGGAGCAAATGCAGGGGGCTGTTCTCGCCTTCGCGAAGACCCCCTCCCCATTATGGAAACCGACTCAAAGCTGAGCGGAGAATCTGTTGGGCCGTCTTGGTCCAACGTCAGTGGAGGATGCTGGATTCAAAACACCGAGATAAGCAAACTTTGCAAGCCGTCATCAGCCTTGCTGGATGGACCCCAATGTGGGTTCTTCAGATATCTGGGTTATGGCTCTCGCCCAGCCTGGCTGGGAATGCTGGGAGTTGTAGTCTCCCCTCAAGCAGGAAGAGAGGCCCAAAGCATGGCTGCCTTTGATGTTGCCACGGCAACGGGATGCAGGCCTAGCATCCTTCCAAGCCGGCAAGGTGAAACTTCTTATTTTTCAAAAAAAAAGTAGGAAACTTAACCAAGAAGAAAAGTCCAGCAAACTATGACAGAAGGCATTGAGAAGCTAAAAAAAAAAGGGGGTCAAGAGGAAGAGACGCCCCATAACTGAGCCCCCCACCCCAAAGCAGACATTGGTTGTCAAGGTCTTGGATTTGGGGTCCGGCCTACTTCCTGGCACCGTTGCCGTGGAGAAAGAGTAGCTGGCCTAGATACAGGCCTGGTTGCTATGGAGATGGGAACAGGAAACCCGCCATTTCCATAGAGACGGTATGGGCTAGACCAGACCTTGCCAAGGGGATGCCCTTGCAAGACGTAGATCTGGGACTCCCACCTGGAGGACCATGCCGGAAAGCGGGAATCTGGGGAATGGCGGTCCAGACCCCTTGCCCGGAGGAGACCTTTGCAAGACCCATCAAAAAAAAAGTGACCAAGGGAAGGACGTTGCCTTACCTAGACAAGCTGGCCAGACCTAGTGGGCATCCGGGCACCCGCTGCTCTCCATGCTGCTTTCTCCCAATGGGGCTGGGCTGGACCCTCTGTGCAAGAAAAGAAAAGATTGTTTTATTGTAAACCGCCCAGAATCACAGAGGGGGCAGCGAATAAATCTAAGAGACAGCAAGACAGAAAGACAGACACACACACACAAAGGGGGGGGGGGGGGGGGGGAAGCAGGCAGACATATTGAAAAATAGCTAGACAGATGGATAGATAATAGACAGAGAGAGACAGAGACAAAGAGGTAGATAGATAGATAAATATATAGACAGAAAGACTCAGAGAGATGATAGATAGATAGATAGATAGATAGATAGATAGATAGATAGATGGATGGATGGATGGATGGATGGATGGATGGATGGATGGATGGATGGATGGAGAGAGAGAGACAGAGACAGAGACAGAGACAAAAACAGACAGATAGATATAGATAGGTGAGAGATGAGAGATAGATAGAAGATAGCTAGATAGATGGATGGATGGATAAAAGAGAGAGAGACAAAAATAGACAGATAGATAGATATATAGATGAGAGATGAGAGATAGATAGAAGATAGATGGATGGATGGATGGATGGATGGATGAAGAGAGAGACAAAGACAAAGACAGAGGGATAGATATAGATAGATGAAAGATAGATAGATAGATGAGAGAGAGAGAGAGAGAAAGAGAGAGAGAGACAGACCCAGATAATAGATGATAGACAGAGAGAGAGATGATATATGATAGATATAGCAATAAATTATATAGACATAGATAATAGATGATAGAGAAAGAGATAAATACAGATAGATAACGTAGAAATGATGGAAAAATAGAGAGACAGACAGACAATAGATGGAGAGATAATAGATACAGATAGATACTGAGAGAGAGAGAGAGAGAGAGAGATACAGTAGGTAATAGATGATAAACAGAGAGAGATAATAGATACATAGACAGATAGACAGACAGACATATTCAGACGGATAAAAGGGACACCCCGTTACCCCCAATTCAAACCGTCGGCAGTTCTGAGCTCCCCTCCCGCCTCCCTTCGACTGTTTGAATAACAAAATAATCTGCATTTTGTCCAGAGCTAGGAAGCTCGCTGGCTGGCTGGCTGGCTTGTTTTTTTGCAAAACTATCTTCGGCTCGACTTGTTTTGCTTTTCGCAAAAGCTTCTCGCTTCTCGATCACAGAGCCGACAAGTTCGAGGTCAAACAACAGCCAGACTTTCCCACCTAAATCGGGGTCTAACTGGCCAAAATCAGGAGGGGGGGGGCGCTGTCACAGGAAATATTGGCATGCCAAGGACCGTGTTTACGCTTAAATTTTTTTGTAAGAGACAGGCCCAAGATGCTATACGAGTTTTTAAAAGCCTCGGGGATGACATGAAAAAAAAAAAGCACGGAAAATGTCGATCCTCCGTGAAGGGCTTAGATTAAAATTATATTCCTCATTAGCAATCCCTTGGAAGTTTGGAGAAATAGAATTGGATAGGTTTTGGGGGAGTTTTTGCTCATTCCTGCAAGCTTCACGCACTCTATTTTTTTGTGTGTTTTTTGGGGAGGGGGGAACATTGCAAGCGGTGTTTTCCCCGGTGTGTTTAAAAGCAACAAAGAGCTGCAAGGATTAAAAAAATCACTGTTTTTTAGAGGGGAAAAAAAAGAAAATTTGCAAACGCCGGATTATTTCGTGAGAAGCTTTGGGGCCGGGACTGAAACCCAAGATAAAAATTTAAAAAAAAAACAAGGATTCTCACTTTAAAAATAACAAATAAAAAATGGTTAAAGCTGTTTTTCACCAAATGGGTGGTGGGGGGACTTCCACTCCCAGAATTCCCCAGACAGCTAAATTTAAACGGGCTGGGGGGGGATTCTGGGAGTTGAAATCCGCCCTCCGTCCCAAGTTGCCAAGCTGGAGAAATTCTTTGTGAAAAGATCGTCGCTTCAAAAATAGAAAAAGGCTTCTATTTTTTTAAACCTCCTTTTCCCCCTCCCGAAACGTTAGCGAGGAATGCCACTGGATTCACAAGCCCGGAAGCTGTGAAACGCCAAGGGTGCCAACATCCAAGCACTAAAAATAATATTAGGATTTCTCTCCTCTATATCCGGTCTAGACCAAAAGCGTTAGGAACCCCGGAAAAACAGGATTTGAAAATGTTCTTCAAAACCCAAAACATCCATGGCTAAGTGAGACATTGGTTAAGCCCCGTTTTATGACCTTTCTTGCCACTGTTGTTACATTAGTTAACACCGTCGTTAAGTGAATCTAGCTCCTTGGCTTCTCAGAAGGTTGCAAAACGGGATCACGTGACCTGGGGACGCTGCAACTATCATAAATATGAGTCAGTTTGCTAAACGGAGATGCTGCAATGGTCGTTAAGTGTGAAAAATGGTCGTAAGTCACTTTTTTCGGCGCCGTTGTCACTTCAAACGGTCACTAAGTGAACTGTCGTGACCTGTAATTCGGGACAGTTCCACCTTCCGACCAACCAAGCCCGATTCGGTTAACGACCGAGCGACTCGTTTCGCAACCGCCCCACTTAACGACAGTGGCAAGAAAGGTCGCGAAACTGAAGCAAAACTCACGGAAGAACCGTCTTAAAGTTAGCGAGAGAAATTTTGGGGCTCGGTTCTGGTCATAAGACGAGGACCGCCTGTAGAAGCTGAGGAGGCGAATATAAACGGAAGGAAAATGTGCTTCGCCTCCATGGGAAACCGAAGAAAATTGGGAAATGTGGGTCAGCCCTCCGTGCCATCCGTAACGGCATTCAGCCGCTTGGCTTTTCCACACGGAATGAGCGTGATGAAACGACGGGAAAAAAAGAAGAACTGAAGAATCTCTTATTCTATTTCTATTATTTCTATTTCTATTTCTGTTTCTGTTCCTATTTCTACTTCTTCTTCTATTCATCAAAGGGAGAAGCAACCTAAAAGGAAGGGAAGAATTTCCTAACAGTGAGAACAATTCACCAGTGGAACGACTTGCCACCAGAACTGGAAGTTTTTAAGAAGAGATTGGGCAACCATTTGTCGGAAGTGTGGCAGGTCGTCCTCCACTTACAACACTTCACTGAGTGACCATTCAAAGTTCCGACGGCACTGAAAAGAAAGGGACTTACGACCGTTTCTCACCGTTACGACGTTTGTAGCATTCCCTCCCCTCCCCCCCGCATTCTTGGCCATCGACTCATATTTATGACGGTTGCAATGTCACTTGATCCCCCTTTTGTGGCCTTCTGACAAGCAAAGTCAACGGGGAAGCCAGATTCACTTAACGACCGGGATACTAATTTGTTAACTGCGGTGATTCACTTAACAACTCTGGCACCAAAAGGACATAAAATAGGTAGGCCAAAACTCACTTAACGTACGTCTCCCGAACAACAGAAATTTTGGCCCAGAAATTGTGGCCGTAAGTGAAGGACTACCCTGTTTCCCCCAAAATAAGACGTCCCCTGATAATAAGCCCAATCGGGCTTTTGAGCGCATCGGGGAAACGGTAACTATCTTTCTCTATCTATCATCTATCTATCCATCCATCCATCCATCCATCCATCCATCCATCCATCCATCCATATCTACCGTGTTTTCCCTAAAATAAGACCCTGTCTTATATTTTTTTGAACCCTGAAATAAGCACCTGGCCTTATTGCCATGTGCTCAAAAGCCTGATTGGGCTTATTATCAGGGGAGGTCTTATTTTGGGAGAAACAGGGTATCTATCTATCTATCTATCTATCTATCTATCTATCTATCTATCTAATCTATCTATCTATTATCTGTCTCTTATCTACTTATCATCCATCCATCCATCCATCCATCCATCCATCCATCCATCCATCCAACCATCCATCCATCCATCCATCCATCCATCCTCCATCCATCTATCTATCTATCTATCTATCTATCTATCTATCGATAGATCCATCCATCCATCCATCTATCATCTATCTATCATCTTTCTCTCTTTTGGACTAACTACTGTCAGTCTATCATCCATCCATCTGTCTATTATCTTTCTGTCTGTCATCCATATCTCTGTCTGTCTGTTTGTCTATCTGTCTGTCTATCTATCTATCTATCTATCTATCTATCTATCTATCTGTCTGTCTATCTATCTATCGATAGATCCATCCATCCATCTACCCATCTATCATCTATCTATCATCTTTCTCTCTTTTGGACTAACTATCTGTCAGTCTATCATCGATCCATCTTGTCTATCTGTCTATCTATCTGTCTGTCTGTCTGTCTGTCTGTCTGTCTGTCTGTCTATCGATAGATCCATCCATCCATCCATCTACCCATCTATCATCTATCTATCATCTTTCTCTCTTTTGGACTGTCAGTCTATCATCCATCCATCTGTCTATTAACTGTCTATTATCCATATGTCTATCTGTCTACCTACCTACCTACCTACTTACCCACCCACCCACCCACCCATCCATCTATCCATCCGTATCATCTGTCTGTCTGTCTGTCTATCTATTATCCATATATGTATCTCTATCTACTCTGTTTTCTCCAAATTAAGACTTTTCCTGATAATAAGCCCAATCGGGCTTTTGAGCGCATGGCAATAAGGCCAAGCGCTTATTTCAGGGTTCAAAAAAAAAAAAATATAAGACAGGGTCTTATTTTCGGGGAAACACGGTACCTGTATCAGGTTTCCTGCTTAAGCAGGAGGTGGGACTAAAATACCTCCAAGGCCCCTTCCAACTGTCAATCCTTTTTTTAAAAAAAAAAACAGGCACAGGCCTAGGCCAAAAAAAATCACAGGATGCATGCACGAGAGAAAATTGGCTTTTGTGCCTTTTGAAGCACACCCGTCCCAAAAAAAACCACCTTCGCGCGATCAAGGCCCAGCAGCTGGATCTGAGACTAGCCAACATTCAGGGTTTAGCGGTCTTGGACCCAGCTTGGTGACGTCAGGATGAGGAGTTGCAAAAGGACATGCACACAGAAGTGCATCGGGGGCAACGTTGGGGAAGCGCGGTGTAAAAAAAAAGAATCGGATTAATAATGCAAGACGACCGAGGCCCGGATAC